CTTTTATCATTTTGTTGGCCTGTAAATGGGATATACTACCTTTAAACAAAATATTTAATCATACACATGCCCCTGGATAATCATTGCACATCATGTCTGTACAAAATTCATGTATAATTACTATGTCGAAAAGATAAATATTTCTTCATCAGCAACTAATAAAAAAAATCTTTAAAGATTGACCATTGCTGTAGCCTGGGGTAATGTGTCAGGGATCATGTATTGCTTTCAAAGTTTGCTTGAGACCTTGTTTTTTTTTTGCGAAATAACTGCCAATCAGGGGTTAGAAGGTAAAAAGGATAATTGTTTAATTTGCACCACATAACACTTTGTTTTTATAACTTCTTTTTGTAATCTGATCATATCGTTTTCAGTCCCTTTTTTTATTTGTTATTTTAAATCTGATCCTGCTTGTCTGAGTTTCCAGTTTCTACAGAAGCAAGTTATTCTTCGACCGGAATTTCCCTTTAAAGTGTATAGTTATCCTTGTTATGAGGGCGTAGTGTGGTTCTGAATTCGATTTAGCTTATGTGACCTTTTTGATAATTATTTTGAACATTCGCGTTCTCCACACGCACACACATGACGGTTCAGACCAGCCCCTCCCCCCTGTTTTCTTTTTAAACCAGAAGAGACGTCATTCATCACTGCGTGTTTTATGTACGCCCCCTCGCCGAGTTTGTTGGCAAAAACACGACGGGTTGTCAAATAATTCTCTCAGCCGTTTGACGTCGCTATAGCAGGAAACCTTAAGCTCTGTTTCACCCGAATTATACCAACATACTACGGGGTGATACGACGACATACGTTGAGACGAAATAAATCCTCCGTTTGATTGTTTGTTGTTGTTTTTGCGAGTCTCATTGCCATGGCTGCTTTAGTGTCATAAGAAACACAACTTACTGAATAATTCAACTATTTCAGCTAACATGTGAAGATTTTAACCAGTATTTTCTAAGCAATACCTTAGTTAGTTTCCAGCGAATGAGGGGTGTGGGGGGGGGGGGTTGATGTCATTGAGTCCCCTCTTGTTTTGCTTCTCTGTAAAGTATCGTGGTTTAGTGGAAACGTCACCGAACTATTGATCATAATGGTTCGTGGTTCGAGTCCCGACACGGCACCAATGTCCTTTGAAAATATTTTGAACATTTGCCACTTTCCATCATAGTGGGTACCTGATAAAAATGTATTCATTGAATATTTTCAGCTCCTTCGGCATGTGAGGACAGTTAGCCCTTCAGCATCCCTTGGGGTGGATGTGTGCGCAACATTTATATCTAGATATGATCATGGACCTCCATGGTATGATTAATGGTATCACTGTTCTCTCTTTCTCGTGGGCCCGGCACATGCCCCCTGACCTCCTGTAACTGCACCACTGCCTGACAGTTTATACTCCCATACTCCAAACGTGTACTTGTTGTGGGTGTATGTTATCATCCACGCCGCATATTTTGTTCCAGATCAAAGATTGATGGTTCCGTGGGCAAGTAATAGCGACGTGGGTGGATATAATAATTATTATGAGTGTATGATGTAAAAGAGAGGGAAGTACAGCTAAATATGATTCCACAAAACGTGGTGTTGTTTGTTATCTTGTAAAATGACCAAGAAGTGCCTTAAAAAAGTAAAAATCTTTGAGTGACCGGTTTTACCATACTCGTTTTCCCAATAGAGTGTAGAGTTATGAAAACCGTTTGGCAAACGCAAAATTTGATTTCGATTTTCAATCATAAATATCTTGATAAACAGACAGGCGATCGGCTTGTAAAAGTCAAGGGGTTCCTGAACTGACCTAAAGGTTCATAATTATCATTGCAGCATGAGCTAAATCAAGGTATTTTTTTAAAGGATCTAAGACAAAGTTACCGGATCCCTTTAAATCTTCATGCATGCCTTGATTAGTCTCGTATATATAAATTATAGAGTGCAGCATTTTTCACTGTAAATTGAGTTTTAATAGGATCCAATAAGCATTATTTCATTTAGGCCTGACTACAAAATCATTCGTTCCCGAAGAATCAAAATACCAGACAGTTTCTTTCACAATACAATGCCAAGAACCGAACCTTTAAACTCGCTTGAGACAAACATGGATAAAAATAATGCTTCATAGTCTGCATGCACGCACACACTCTATATTTATTGGAAATATATTGTTTCTTAAGTGCAGCCTAGCCCAACTCTCTGTCAATAAAAGAGCTACAGGACAGAGGATATAGACTGCACGGTCTCAACAGTCTTTTAGCTCAGACCTTCTTTATCCTCATCCTCATCCTCATCATCATCATCGTCGTCATCGTCGTCGTCATCTTCATCATCAAGAACAGCGCTTATAATCCTTGGGAAAGTGATCTTTAGAAGTAGATCTCTACAAGTACAATCCAATCACAAACCACTTCTGAAGGGCATGCCCTTTCATTCAGTCTCATTATTACTCAATTGTGGAACAGTGAGAAAAATATCCACTAAACAAACAAAATATCGAGGAAAAGAAAGAAAAGTGATGCTCCATGTTGGCCCTATAGATCATCACACACTGGGCGGCGTGCGTGCACTCAGAGAGGGGGCAAATTTAAAAAACTGCAAGTGGTATCCACGATTAAATAAAGCAAACTGCGGGAAAACGTTTTTTTATCTTTCCTTAATAGTTTAGATCACCATCGTCGATTTTTGTTTTAAAGATGAATATGATATGTCAATTTACCCAACATCAGTTATGAAATATTCCTTATAATAACTGTGAGTCCATTGTCTCAAGGAACGGCTGTTAAATGCGTTTTTTTTCCATGATTTTGATTTTGATTTGTGTGTTGTTGTTGTTGTGTTTTTTTTTTGTTTTTGTTTTTTTTTTTGTTGGGGGGGGGGGGGGCTTTCAAAATTGCGTATATTAATTTCGTCATAGATTTGAAATTAAGTAAAGCCGATAGACTGAGGTGCATAACCCTGTATTGACGATGATAACTATTAAGGGGGTGATATTAAGTTTACGATGACGATGATCGTGATGATGATGACAATGCCCCTTCTCTAAACACCTTGCTGAAATTCCTTAAATCTCCGCAACCCTGTATCGCTACATGGACCTCACGTATATGAGGACTCCCATTTTACATTTTAACACAATTCCTAATTCCTTGAACAGAGCATAGATCTATATGCACTATGCAGTAGGTCCATGGTTTATGCATAGACCTATTAAAGAGCAGAAGGTCCATGGATAGAGCAGTAGGTCCATGGTTTATGGATGTGATCTGCCCGGAGCCTATTTTGTGCACACACTGTTAGACCATGGACATAACACAAATGGTTCCACACAGCTCATTAACAGTGCTTGTGCCTAGCTGCAAACCAGATGATGGTGGGCACCATAACAGCCGGGTGAGAGGCTGAGAGCTGCCGAGGACATTTATCCCTTGAAAATCTAATATTTATGCTATTGAAAGATTGTCAAACCATGGACCTACTAGGCTTTGCATGATGACAAGCCAGATTTAGGTTGTGATGGATGATGGATGATGGAGGAAAGTGGAAGTAGTCAGATAAACGAGTAAACACATTTAGCTGTCACGAACTTCCGTCTTTCACTTATCTTTCCCACAGTATTGTCTTCACAATATTTACATTTCGTGTGTTTTTCTATATGGATAGTTTCAAAATTCCACAGCGAATATTGTTAGTTTATTGATTTAAATATATTTATACAGTATACAAAAGATCGATATGTATCTGTTTCCACTTTCCAACTGGTCGTGGTATTAAAAAACATCAATATACATGTATCAACCACTCTTGAAATGGTAAAAGTAATTACAGTCAGTACAACAATAACGTAAAGGAATATAATTAACAAATTAAGACAGAGTGTGACGTTTAGAACAAATCGACTTCAGACCAACCGATTCGTAGCATTTCAGGAAAATTATTATTTTTTTTTTTTTGGGGGGGGGAGGGGGAGGGGGTCTGCTATCGGTCTGTTATCGATCTATTTGGTATGACCAGTGTTCCCAGACAGGAAATGTTATTCAGGGATACAGTTTTCGATCTTTAGATAAATCATCCAGCTGCTACCCCTTATGACTTTCGGCTGCCCATCGTTTGTTTTCAGAAATGGGTAATATAACGAGGTTTGATAATGCAGAAGTTTATATTAATGTAAGCAGGAAGGAATAAATTTGTCATGAACGAGCAGTTAACACCGTCGTTATAGTTCTTAATGTTGTGTTACATTAGATAACTCACGATTAAAAGGGTTGTGTTGATTGGTAATTCCATGGCGTAGCCAGCACTTGGTAAGGCCCGGGATTCGCCCCCTCCACACTGTTTGAAGGCAGTTAGGACACATGGAACATCTCAGATAGCTGTCATTTTGCCCCCCCCCCCCTGCCCGGCCTCCTTCGGGAAGGACTCATTACTCCATTCTCCTCTCAGAAATTGTCTTTGTGGCCACTGTGTGTCTCTCGCACAGTGTAAAAGTGTGAACACTATCTAATTGTTCAAGTAGTATAGTCACTACACTACCGTGAACTTGTTCAAAATCCATTCCATGTTTCTACTGTAGTGCAAACATACACCTTATGTGTTCACACAATCACCATTGTGAACATTTTCAAAATCCTTAGTTATTTTAAAACCCTGATCCATACATCTTGTGCTTCTCTGTTCGGTCGTTGCAGAGTGTAAATATCCACACTTCACCCACGGTGTGGTGTGAACACTCTGTAATTCTCTATTAAGTCACACTCTTTTTCAAACACTAACTCTAAAGTACGTGTATGAACATGTTTATTATTCTCTCTGTAACTATCAAATGCTGATAGTTACACGCTGTGATTTTTTTAAATCGTTACCGTGTGACTATAGGTTTTTTGTCCACTAACATCATGGAAGTGTTCCAAATCCTCTCCATGGGCACATCATTTATGTGTGTACACTGTGTAATTATTCACAGCCCGAGTTTTATCCTTATTTCTATTTTCTTTATCATTCTTGTTTTACAGATAGGCGAGATCTTGTCACTATGTTGTCACGGAAAAGGAGATGCTGCTACTTCTTCGCGGCTCTCACCTTCATCTGCGCATGCTCTGTGATCTTCCCACCAAGTGACATGCGCTTAGCGTTCGCCGACTACCTGACGCGCAGCAATGGGGAGACGCGGCGGCTCCTGCAGAACAGTGTCGTGAAATCGGCGCCAGCTGCCGGCCTGAGGGCAGTACCAAAAGCCTCCAAGAAGGAAGAGAGTAAGAGCGAGAAGGATAAGTATCGAGTGCCGATCTTTTGGGACGACGGTGAGTTCATGGATGATGACGAGCCTGATGAACAAGGTGGTGATCGTAAAATGGAAGAGAAGACGCATGGGGAAGTAGCGAAGAAGGGGGAATCTGCATCCGCGCTGGAAAGGAACAATGTGACCAAAACCGAAACCGCCAAAGACACCGCAAAGTCGAACCCCAGTAACAGTTCACTCGAGAAAACCCAGGTACAGAAAAATATAAAAAATGAAGGCACTATGGCTGTCCTTGATTACAAAATGTCTCAGTTCCAGACTGCTAAGTATAATGACAAGTTAGAATCGGTCAAGTCACAGAGTGGAGAAGCCAATGAAACAGAAGAGGCTACGAGCAGAGTCCTTCCGGTTCATCTCCTCATCGTCACACAAAGAAGATCAGGGTCTAGTTTCTTGGGACAGATCTTCAATCAGAACCCATGGGTATTTTTCCATTTTGAGCCCCTGAAACTTCTTGAAATTAAGAAAAAGGTGTATCCGAATGCTTCCTCTCTCCTCGCAAATTTACTGACATGTCGTTTTGACAGAACTCCTTACCTCACCGACTTTTATAACCACGAAACGCTGCATAGAATGTCCAGTAAGGTGCTTTGTTCACCACCCCTGTGTGTGACGAACGTGGACTACAACAAAATGAGGTCAAGCACCGTCAAACAATGTGGACCACTCGAAGCTGAGGCCATGACCAACCTCTGTAACGTATATCCACACAAAGTGGTGAAACTTATTCGCTTATACAGCGTCGAGTCCCTAACACCATTACTGAAGGACAAAGACATCAACCTGAAGATCATCCATCTCTTGCGCGATCCAAGAGGGACGTTGTCCTCAAGATCGAAGGAGGATCCAAAGCGGACCAAACCACTGTCACTGGGCAAGAGCCTCAGTCACGATGCTGCCTACATCTGCCGCAGGATGAAACACAACTTCAACTTTGCTCATAAGAACCCGGAACTACTTCGGAGTCGCTATCTCAGGGTCAGGTACGAGGACATAGCCACCGATCCTGAAGGCTGGACCGCAGCTCTCTACAAGTTTGCGGGAATGGGGGATGTCCCTGTCAACGTGCACAACTGGATCCAGCAAAATACGCGCGAAAGCACATCGGAGGCCTCACGTGACATCTACTCCACGCATAGAAACTCTTCGGCCAATGCGCAGGCGTGGCGTCATCACGTGACTTTTCCCGTCGTCAGGGAGATACAAAAGTATTGTAGTGAGGTCATGGAGGAGGCGGGTTACAGACAGGTCAAGGAAGCGGGTGACCTGCAGAGGACTGATTTAAGTTTTGTTGCCCCAATCACGTGATAAATTTATCATCACCATATTATGCGCCATTTTTTCTACGATGCAATACTATTTAATCATTTTTGGTTTTCATATTTTGTAGGACGAGAATTTCAAAGAGGAGAATAGGTCGGGCATCCTTACTGCTTGTTTTTAATTTTTTTTCTTGCAATCATAAACATTTCCCTGGAAACATTAATATATTACGCATGATTATTAATAATAATAATAATGTGTCTTGTTTACCCAGGGTAGCCTCATCAGTATTCATACTGTTCTCCCTGAGGGCCCTGCAATCATAATTATTATTACCCCGGTCATCGGATTCAGGCTTACCCGCACACAATGTATGCATATTCATTATGTTTTGATATGCCCTTTTGGGGGAGGGGGGGGGGGTTCGCGGGGGAGGGCAACAAATATGGCGTCTTAGGAATAGTGCGCATGGCTCAAACTAAGCAGCTGAAAGTAGAAAACCATGCATTGAGGGAATGCGGCTATGCGTTCAATCAAACTCATTAAATTTTCATTTTTAAAGTACACGTTAGCTATAGCTGTCAAAATCATTTTGAATTACGTACTATTAAACATTTTCAAATATTAATTATTTGTTTGTTTTCAAATCGTTCATAACATTTATTTGATGTCGTAGAGGGAAAAGAGATCCGAAAATGTTAACAACAGGATTTGTATAGTTTATATAAAGACCACGGCTACCCTTTCTACACGCGTCCGCTTGCCAAAATCTGCAAACAACAACCGACGATATGAAACTATACAGTCTTTTGGGCAGACTTAACTTTTTGAAGAATGCCTATATGCACATATTTTGTTTTCTTATTCCACACTGTGTCAGAAGTGATTTAAATAAACGTTTTGTCATGTACTTTCTATGGGCAACAATGGACATGCCAATTTCATGAGAGGTTTTGATTTTCCTTTTTAAATACAAGTTCGATAATTTTCGAAACGCCTATTAGATCGATTTCAATATTTTGCTTTGTACAGACAAGTTTTAGTGATCCATTTACAAGCATATATATGTATCACATTGGAAAAAAATAATAGATAAAACAGTGTTCGTATCTGATTGTGTGTATGTAAATCAATTTCCGTCTACTCTGATTATTTGGTAAGAATCGCGATATTGTGACAGTGAACTTAATTACTGCCTTTTGTGGGAACAAAGCATTAACTATCGTAAATATATGTTTCTTGAAAATAGTTTTCTGCCTTTAATCTTTGTTTTAAATGCTTTCATTGACCAAACGTCTTCCAATGCTGCTTTAACTTGATTATGTTTGTAAATTATGCCATTTTGATGATATTCAACTATGTGTGATTCTATTTCGTTTATTATGTTATATTATGCAATTACAGACATGTTGATAATCAATTTATATTATTATGTGGCCCCTGACCCCCCTCCCCCTTTCTCCAATCCCCCTTATTTCTTGTCGTATTTCGAATTTGAGGGCATTTTAAGAGGAATCTTTTTCAGGGGATATTTATGCTAAATACTTCCGAATTGACATTAAAGAATGCGTAAGCTCACAAATTATCTGTCGTCTTTACCCGAACCCAAACTTTTCTTGTATCGTACATGTTAGCATCTAATAATAATAATGATATTCACATTTGTATAAGAAGGAGAAGATGAACTAAACTTTTTCATGCCTTTTTAAATTGCTGATCTTTATGCATTATGTCAAACAGTACACTTTGATTATAAGTTTGTTGATTGTTGTTTAACATGATTATTTGTGTGAATTTGTCATGGTGTTTTGCATTGTTGTTACTCTTTCAGATGTTTGGTATTTTGGTATTATTGTGAAATTTATATGTTCGTGGTCTTGGTTTAGATGGAATTATCTTCTATCATAATTTATAATAAAAACACATCATTAAAAAAAAAAAGATTTTCCTTTGCTATTGTTCTGTAGACTAGTATTTTGCGTTCCGGATATGCGTGTAAGTACAATTGTTCTGAGGACTTGTCCATGCAAAAGAATTCAATTAATGATACTTCTAATACTATTCAATAGTTTTAGAACGATATGCATGTTTGCATTGACGCCCGAAAGAGCATATCTCAGACTATCCAGAACATTGTGTTAGAAGTCTGTATCATGTAGGAGAGTTGACTAGATAGGTAGGCTGAAAGAAAGGCCTCACAAACGGCCCGCAAGAAATAAGATGGCGCCTGGATGGTCACGCATGAGTGATTTTGATTAACGAAATGAGATGCTAGAGACTATGCTACGAAGTTTGTAAGGAATCGGGACTGCGTGCAAAACGAATGGGATTTTGACAAATAAGTTAAAAAGAGGAAAATTCAGAACGGAAACGAAAACAAGGCATTGACGGAAGATGTCAATGTAATTATAGAAGATACAACCTACACAGGTTTGTATTACTAGGTGGTCCGTCCCTATTTGTAAATATGAATTCGATTTTCAAGTTAATTCAAGATCAACAAAACAGTATACACCTTCAAATTGTTTCCCCTTCTGTAAATGTGGGTGTGTCACTATGCGACCATTTTTTTCTTCTCGATTGAGAGTTTGTGCCCCCCCCCCGGTCTTCTACCCGCCCTCGTCTCTTTCAATCTCCCCCCCCCCCCCTCTCTCTCTCTCTTCATTGCTTATCTCTGTACTACTACTATTTTTCCCTTTACAAATTTCAATAATGTATGCAGGCCATAAGAACAAAATTCGTTTGATAATATAAAGTGTAAAAAACTTCATGGAGAAACAACAATTTCTGGAGGTATCGGGGATCGAACCCGAGGCCTCTCGCATGCAAAGCGAGCGCTCTACCACTGAGCTATACCCCCTTGCTGACACATGGAGATAATGTAATTATTTAGAAGGAGGAGATTATTTGGCATTTGGATGAGTAGATGAAAAGAAACATAATTATACATATACATGTTCGTTAATGCACAAAATTCAAATTATTAGACAGAACAAGGGAGGGTGCTGACGTGAGAGGGAGAATAAGAAGAAGGGAGCTAAGGACATCTAAAAGCAAAACATGTTTCGCGTTCTGCCATTTTGGAATAATAGGAAGAAGGAGGCCCCTTTTTTTCTATTCTTTTTTCCTTCAAAATGGCCGCTCGGTATATTTACCCCATCGAATTTCAAGGTTTGAGTTCGTTGATTTACCCTAGTAGGTACAGACCGCAAAATAATTATGTATTGCATCATTAGCATTATAAACTCTAAAATCGACTAAAATCATACAATGTACTCACCAAAGGAATCGGGATTAGAAATGGAGGCCTTTCACATGCAAATCAAGAGCTTTATAACACTGAGCTGGACCTCATCGATCAGCTATTGTAGGAAACGTTGTGCGCAATCAGTGTAATGTTATTTTCAAAGACATCAATGCCACAGGACATACATAAGGATGCTCTTTTTCCGTTAAGCATTCCTATTGCCTTTAATGTCCCCCGAACAAACATGTTTATTAATTTTAGATGTTATTTTATTGAAGGAAGGTTTCCCTTGACAAGTCAGAAGCTTGCCAGACATAGCAATAATTGATGTTTGCTTTGTGGATTCAATCTATAGCGATAGGGGTTCTCAGTTTCTGTAGAGATTTATTTTCATAAAATTTAGATACATTAAATACATTAGTAAACAGGCCTCTTCAGAGGAGGATGCTAAAAATTGTTTCTGACATTCAATGTACGTTTTTTTTTTTTTACTGAATTTAGGCTCAAATACTGTTATGGTAAATGTGCAAAATCAAAATTATCGAAAAAAACATATTGGCCTCAGTTTAGAGAGGAGAAGGTGTGGGTGGCTGGGGTGGGGGTGGAGTGGGGGCTGCGCGGGTCTGGGTAGACAAGGCTGATCTTTGACAGTTTAACACACGAAGAAATATAAGGGTGCAATTGGGGTGTAGATTTGCTTCCACCTACGTGTATTTGGCAGAGGGTGCTGCTTTTGTAGCATTATTGCACCCTTATTCCTTAGTGTTAATTGACGTTATATCTCCATCCAAAGTGTTTAAAACGTCGAATAAAAAATACGAAAAAGTAATCACTTGAGTAATTTGGCCAGCTAAAATTTGAAAAAATGTAAGATATAGGTAGGCCTGATGTTGAAAAGTTCACAAACACGCTTACGAAACGCACTCAGAATGCAATGAAATAATGCCGAAACAAAACTCTCAATATATCAAAATACAATTGTTTCTGCTTTCAACTTTTTCATTCACTAGAAATAAAAAAATAATTAATTTTATCCATGCGCACTTATCCAACCGCTTTCATATTTAAGCCTACTCAAAACAAGGTTAGATGGTACCTTTAATTGTCTTAATTGAGGTTGGGGCCACATGCAGTTTCGATGTCCGAGAGTATTAAAGGTTGGGAGGTGGGGGCTGAGTGGGGAGGGGGGGAGGTAGATGCACGGACAAAGACCCTCTTTCTCTGGTTTTTTGAGCCGATGCGGCCAGTCTTGGATGCGGATGATGACTGCAACACGCAACGTCTGCCAGAAATAACTTTCACCCCTTTGCCTAACCCATTTATTATTGGGTGTGAAAGTTACTCTAATCGAATTCTCTTTGTATCAGACTTTTGATGACGTCGGGGTCAAACGAATGTCACTGATCGACTTCCAATTCGTGAAAAAAAATGTAACAAATCGACGTTCAACATTATGTTTTTATTATATCATAAGCTACCGCCATAGGCCCCATTAAGGAGGGGGCAAGGGGGTCGATTACCCCCTAATGAATATCTTCAGGCCAAGGAAACGCTAAGTAGCCTCTTGTTATGAATATTTTTAGTGAGCAGGTTTAATATGGGGAATCATTGTAAAGTATTCTTTAAACAAAAATGTATACTTGTTTATACATTTACTTCCTTTTTTCCCCCTCTCTTCCGAGAATAAGTCACGTTGCGCGGTTCCCCTCCCCAATCCAGGTAACGAAAACCACGCAGGCTCTTAAAAGTGGCTTCCTTACTTAATTTATAGGTCATATAATTATATGGATCACAGTATAACTTATATAACTATTAGATATATTGCACCACCTAAAGCAAGGATCGGGATACGCCACTGTCACGGGCCCCAATGTAATTAAATCTAAATATTTTGTGCGGGCATGCAGGGTTCACTTAAATTTACAGCTTACCGCGAAATTCTGAAATGATATGTTTGATACTGAGAATAACGTTATTATCCTGGTAATGTATTTCTTTTTCTTTTATACTGACATCGCCTTTAACTAATGCTATTGACGCACCAAAATAAATGATTGATATTCTTGTCAAATAATCTAGTCGCTGTTCCTAATGGTATTTGAATTACGAACACACGCGCCAGGTAATAATGGAGTTGGTTCGATCAGTTGTGATGAGAAAATCGAACAACTTCGAGCCATTGAAGAAAAAGTTTTTAGTAAAAAGTACATTTTTTTCGAGCTAATATCTGAATAATTACGAGTATCTTATAGCCTTGGTTTTTAGATTGAATATGTATCTCAAATGTTTTGGATTCAACTTGAAGTTTTTATGCCAATCAAGTTCAGACATTCACTCAATTGATAGACGTAATGTAATGACCACGCCCTTGGTAGTCGTCGATCGCTGCAACAAGCCGGCCTCGCAATGAGTCAAATAAGTCATTGATGAACATATTTTACCCAGCTGTTTTTCATGAGTTTTGTGGAAATAATGACTGGAATTGAACTGAATTGAACTTGCCGAATTGAAATTCACGTAGATTTCACTTTGATCTCATATTTCAAGCATTCATAATTGTTTTGATATTCGATTTATCTGAAGAAAAAATAATCCATCTTGTTTCTCTTGTTTTTCGTCTTTCACTCAAAGGAACAAAGCTTTGCCTTGGATTGCCATTGAAAGCCTGACCACTCCTAGGTCATACCCAACAAATCTAGACGGAAAAGAATCGACGGTGTGATTGTTCCGCTCGGTATCTAACGGGATATCGATGTCTGGTACAAGTGATGACCTTGACCCCGATCTTGAACTTTGTCTGAACTTAGAGAAGTTAAAGGTTCTTATTAGTAGTAGGTCCTCAATAGGAATTTGAAACCATTTGGGTGTTTACCCCATAATGGGTGTTGCCAATCTCCAAGAGTACACTTCACCAGGGAGTTGACTTCACTTTTACGACAAACTGGGGGGCGTTTCACAAAACTTGTCATCCGAGTGACAAATGACAGTTTTTGTTATAAGCTACTGAAATCCTTGCTTCTGATTGGTTATCAGCAGATTTGTCACTGACATTTGTAATTTGTCATTGAAAAAAAGCTTGGTGAAACGGGCCCCAGGTCTTATGTAATGCATTGTGCCCTGAACCCATGCATGAACTTACCGCCAAAAGGAATTCTCATCAAAAAACGTCCCTCACCCTCGAGATTAGAAGGCAAGTTGGAGAATTAGCTGGAAGGACATGTTCGCTGCGTGAGAGACCTATTTAAACATTTCTTGATATATAAATCAACGAATAAATTATCATCTGCAGAATCATTAAAATCGCCTCAAAAAAAATATTACACCCACCAAAACTCAGCCTATAATTATGACAATAGGCTTATAATCAAGCATGATATATTTCCCCAGCAAAATGAGGATTTAAATTAAAAGGTTGAATGAAGACATTGGCATGATGGCATGTAGTATCTACATGTATAATACTAATTTCAGTGACAGAATTACAACCCGACCGAGTGGGTAGTACATGAGATGCCAATTATATAGTGTCACCCTCTCTTTCTTTTTGATACACAATAAGTAACAATTCTGTCGTTCTATTTTCTCATTCTCATGTCATGACTGGATGCCTGTCCTTTGTACCTTTGTACAGGCTCGTTTGAATGAAGGCAGAAAAACAAGAGAAACAGAATGGCGAAAATTTGCAATAAATCGG